TTCAGGAGAAAATGACAGGTGCCTGAAAACCCCTCACCCATCCCACCAGGAGGGCTGCGAACACTCCTGCTCCCTCACTCCAGGCTGACCACCATCCAGAGGTATCAACAACTCCACCCTTAAGACCCCAAAATTTTTGGCATAACTTCAGCATCCCCTCCATGATCAATCTGAGTCTCAAAGCCTGAGATTCAAACTCTGGGAGAGGAGGAAATACCTTGCTACAGTTAACAGGTCATTTGGAGCAATACATACATTTAAAGTCTATCAACAAAATATTAATTTAGACGTTTGAATAAAAAGGAGGAAAATAAATTAGTAAACAGTGAATGTCATTCCCCAGCTAAGAGACGAGCTTCCAGTTTTTGGCACACTGATATATAAAGCCTTGAAAAGTTTCACTCATGTTCTGGAAAAGCTGCTAATAAAATGGAGCAAGTAGTTTCTGTAGTTACAGTGCCAGTGAATAGATCTGCTGCTTTGGATTTCAATTAACTTAGTTTGTTCAGAGAGGAGGCACTTCTGTAGAAATGGGGACTCGTAAGTTAAAGGACAGCTAAAAAAAAAAMCCCAAACAACAGCAAAAAAACCTGTTGGCAGCAAAAGTTCTSTCTGGCTGCAAAATAATGGGTTTTTAAGAAACATTTCAAAAGATTTGAAGGTTTTGGAGAATCTCCTAGGCAGTCTCAGGTGGGTTAGGAATATTGCATTATGGACTTCTTTGTGCTAAAAGGAAGGCCTTAATGCATGTTTTTAAGAAGTCCGCCTCTTGCTATTAAATAAATGATTTTCTGTTAAAAAAGGTGACTGTTACTGTTCAGAGATCTCCACTGATCAGCGTCCATTTTATATAATTACTTAGTATTCTCCAGAACATTTTATGTAACTCACTTCCACTATCCCTTTTCTTTTTTCTTTCTTTTTTTTTTTTTTGTTACCAGCAGAGTAGCAGTTTTACTCTCCAACAGAAATGACAAGAGCTCCGATAAAAAGACCATTTCAAATGGATCAGTTTAAGCAGTCTTTAGAACCCATGATAAATCTGGGCTCCAAAAACTCGACAATGCTAAATGGGCTATGAAATGCATCACAAATCCCTCCCCAGAAAAAAAAAAAAAAAAAAAGGAAAAAAGAAATCAATCCAGAGAAAAGCTTCAATGTTTGAAAATACAAATAAGCAGCATATTTGTGGAATGAAAAATGGTAAATAAATAGTTACTATTTCTAGACAAAATGGCTCGATAGATTTCATAATTTGCCACCACTGTAAAAAAATATCTGTTCCCTTCCCCCCTCCCTTCCCCATCAGTACACACGGAAACACAAGCATAACCATGCATAAAGTGGGAGGGTGGGGGGCAGCCAAGGATACAAACTCCCTCTTAGAAAGTTTGAATTCTTATTAACCCAGTGATGCCTCCATAATGTTACATTAGATCAGCAACATAAAAGTTAGAATATACGTCTCCTTTCCTCCTAGTAAAGGAAACTGCAAAAACACTAATAATGAAAAATAGATGTTAAAAATATCCAGTAGGAAAAAGTACATGTACAATAACCAAAATTAACCCCCTCCGCCCCCACACCAAAACAGATAAACAGCAAAATCTCTGAATAAAAATCCTGTCAGGAAGAGTGGAACCTGCTTTCTCTTTTTTTGCTTTTATTTACAGTATGCCAAGCATGGACTTTAAACTTACAGTGTGCATATATATAGAAAACAAAGAACGAGAGTCACCGTTAACCCTGGTCACCGGCATTACACTTAAAAGTCATTGGCAAATACTAATAAACCTCCATTTAGCAGTAAATAAGGAGAACATGATATATGGACGGACAGATGGAACTGCATAAACAGAAAAGAAAAAGCAGAGAGACCCACAAACATACGGAGAGAGCTGTTTTAAAAGAGTGAAAGATATTGATTTACTTGGAACTAGTGTTGGAAAACAAACGTATTTGTTTCCTTCGTGATTAAAAAAAAAAAGTAATTAAAGTGAATCATAAGGGGGCACACCCTTAAATAAGTAAGGGGGGGGGGGAACATTTGTAGAGGGTAAGGCCTTCTATAGATGTTCCGAATTTTAAGCTAGCAAATAGGTCTGACAAACTTACATCTCTAAATTAAAAATCGAGGGGGGGGCGGGGGGGGGGRGGAATAAAGAACTGCTGGTGGTTTAAGGAGAGTAGAGGCTTTATTCTTTTATGTTTTATAAAAGTTGACTGGCCTACCTTGTTCCCCAGTCCTCAGTTTGTCTCCTCATAGTCGCTGTCTCCCTGGAAGTACAGTGTGAGTGGTAATGACTGCCTGCCTCCCTAATGAGTCCATTTTCCTGCTCTTGATGTTGTGTATATACACACACTGCAACCTACCTTACAAACCACAGAGACGGGAAAGGGAGAGCGAGCGAGAGAGAGCGAGCGAGAGCGAGCGAGAGTGCGAGAGACAGGGAGAGCGACAGAGGGAGAGAGAGAAAGGCGCACACAGACAAAGCCCTCCTACCAGACAGCAGACAACCCTCCTTCCCCTATCTAGCAAAATACAACTCGGCTAATGCAGCAACAGGTTCAATACCGCCAGGCTGAGGCAGCCTAGCAAAGGTATACGGCGCTGAGCAGGATTTGCTGGCAAATAAACACTTCGGTGCCGCTTGGCTCCACCTTTCTTATTTATGTTACAGGATGTTGGAATGCATTGTTTCAGACAGTCCATACGATTATCATAAATACATTTTTTTTTTTTTTTGCATATTAGCAGGAAGCGCCGAAACGTATCAGCCATTCTGCTCCGTAACCTTATAGCTCTAACACATGCAGGGAAGGTGTAAACATATCTCTTTTGACAGGCAGACTACACAAAGCCCACTGATGATTTTAAAGTCATGAGATCTTTCAAGAAAGACGCTCCTCAAGATAGGTTTCCCCAGACAATAGGGGAGCAGGGAAAATTGATCTTGATGAGGAAGAAGTCTTCCTAAGAGACTGCTCGGTAAACAATTGAAAAGAGAGGGCTATTCTCCCCAGCATTCCCTCCTTTCAAAAATATATATTGGGAAGCTTCTACCCCTACAGCTATAATAATGTGCTGTGCTTATGTCTGAACAGGTGCAATGCATATAGTACATGGTGTTACAAGGACAGAAATAAATCTCTCAAGTAAAAAAACATTTTCCCAGTTGCAAACAGGCCAAGGTTATTTAAAATACAGGTCTAATCCGAAGAATGTTCTCCCTGCTCCCTATATWTTTTTGCTGGGGGGAGGAGAGGGGATGGACCAGTAGTGGAAGGTGCAAAGGGGAAGCGAAGATGGGAGAAACAATACATGTAACCAGCCACTATATTTTTATTTTTACAATATTCTGTCACATCTGAAGAAGATATATGCTGCTTCTAAAATAATTTTCACTCATCTCKGCCTCTCATCACACGTAAACTTATGCTCTCACAAAAATTCTGTTTATTTTAATGACAACTACAGACATGTCAAAGTAGAAAGAACAGGGRGAAAAAACATTTTGCACCTGTATTTCACCCTTGGCAAAGGTTCTCCAAGAACTTTATCCACAGGATATTTTTTTCAATGGAGAAACTAGGTCCAAGGTAGAAATAAAAAATAAAAAAAAAAAAAGTTAAGTGGTATTCCCAAGGTTATGCTGTAAATCAGCAGAAAAGCAGATGAGAACTCAAATCTCCTGGAGCAAAACAGACTTTGCCTGGAGTAACTCGTACCCACCTAAAAGTTAAGTGTCCTGTCTAAGCCAGTTGTGTAGGCTCCCTCTATTGTCAGTGGAGAGACAGGCACCTCCCAAAAGCAATTCATCCCAGCTTTCTCTCTCTCCCCACTGAGGAGGGAGCCTACACAACTACATTAGGCTAAGCAGCTAGCTTGTAGTTGGCTAAATTAAGTAAAATGAATCTCRCTTTTGATTTAAAGCTCTATTACAACATCCTGCTTTCCAAAATACATTTTTATTATCACATTTATTATTAGGCAATATATGGCTAAATTATAGTGGCGGAAAAGGGATAGCCTGCTGACTAAAAGAGACAGGTAAACTCCCTCGATTCTTGGATTTGTACCCTCAGGCTGGCTGGATATTCATGATTCACAGAGTCTTTATAATATTAACCAGCCTGGTGACTGGTGAATTTGATTAGTTTTGTTCACTGGTAGATGGTACACATTTTTGTATTTCACTTATAAACATTCTGGTTTCATCCAGATGTACAGTAAATACAGAAGAATTAAGTAATTTGTTTCAAAAAGTTAATTTTCATTAGTTTTTTTCATCAAAACACAGCCTTGCTTACCTTAGGGTAAAATAGAAAGAGCAAAAAGCTCTAATATGTGAATTAGTTCAACTCCTTCCGTAATATTTAGCTACATACACACCTTGCATATGCGGAGGCAGCTCTCCAAGTTACCCCAAATATATATTACAAAAATGTAGTCATATTACATATTTTCCTCCCTGGATTTTATGACCATAATCACCTTATTGGAGGGTATGTAAGGTCAGGAAAGCAGAAGGGGCATTTGTAGACTTTGCTTCTAACTGTGATAACTCGATCTGGCTGTGTAAGTACCAATTGAGCAGTCACTGCCTCAGTTTTTCCATCTGTAAAACAGACTCAACTGAGTAGTTCCATGAGTAGATGGTACTGTAAATATGGGAAGAGCCTTCCCATCTCGGCCTGGCATCTCTCAAAGTTTTACAATAGCAAATATTATGAGAAAAAAATATAAATACTTTGTCAAGGGGACCCGTATTAAAGCCAGATGATGAAAAATCACAAGTTTTCATATCCCTATGTTCCTTTTTAAATAACAGGAATTGTCTCTGAATTTAAAATTTAAAAAACAGGTCTACACCAAAATGAAGATATCAGATGTGAGAAGCTCTTAGTAGTCTGGAACATCTGACCCTAAACTAACAATTCCTTTGTCCTACCAATCTTATGCATACAAATCTGAAGAAATTTTTAAAGTGCACCAACTTTGGATAAAATACAGACTTGAGCCCTTCAAATTTAAGACATTCAGGCTGAAGACAGAGCTGGAAACACTAAAGTTTAAAAAAATGTTCAGATTTGTAATTGATCCAGATCCAAAACCTGTAAGTTCGGAGGCCTCTAAATCCTTACAATTCCTCTAACTTTCTATAGATGTCATATATGCATCTGAATTGGAATCACAAGCCAAATTTCCTGATGTTTTCCAGTAAGAACATTAGAACTGAGCCCAGTTCCATTCAGTTACAACACTTAGAGCCAGACCCAACCTRAAACCCAAAGCCACCCCTTCCCAAGTTGCATGGGGTTTGTGTACTCAGAACTATAGAACTAAACCAAACACTTTCAAGCCTYKAGATTGTTGGAAAGCAAATATGAAGTAGATTCCAACTTAAGCTAGTTTTGGCCCTCAGTCAGAAATTAATCAAATTAACCATAATCTTTAAAAAATTCAAATATATGTCCAAACGGAATGAAAAAAAAAAAAAAAAAACAACAAGATGTGATCTACACAGTTCCTTGCCTGAAAGTCTTTCTTAAACTTAGATCCTAACCATCCATGGCCCAGTTCTGTGTTGTCTTATTAATCATTCAGTCCATCTAAACCATTTTAAAAAATCCTGAGTGCTGCAATTTGAATGGAGAGTCCTGATTTAATGTTTTGCCAACATAAAACTGCCCATTTGCTCGATTCAAAATGCTCAATAAAAACCTGCTCCCCATCCCACCACACTCCTGTGGACCGGCAATTCCTCCTCTCCATTACATGAGGAGGTCAATGGCTCTGCACTTGGAGCATTTGCAGGAAGAGGAAGGAGGACATGGAGCTGCTGGCAGCTTTCAGCTCTGTCCCAGGACTGGACACAGAGCTGCTGTGTGTCAGTCACATGGCTGGTCCATACCTGGCCAAGATTGTACCTCTCCCAGGGCGGAGACACCAAATTTTGGTTATGCCACACATGAGGTCACCCCACAAGGAAGAGGCTGGAACAGGGGCTCCTGTTTAGTAAAAGGCTTCATTATCCATCCTRAATGCAAGAACAGGAAATGCTGGTCTACCCAGTAGATGATACTCCTGGTTTTCTTTTTCTGCAAACTTGTCTTCTCAGTTCAGAATTATTCTCTACCAACTGTCATTACGGAGACAAAGGAGCCCTAACCCCTCAAGCAATGCTTCCAAAAGAATAAAAATGAATACTAGCACCACAAAGGCAGGTGAAAAATTGTGGTGTTTGGTGCAGCAGGGCCAAAAAACCATCTTCAGTTATGCCAGGGAGCTGCAGGGCCCTGATCTGCAGCCGTAAGAGGTAGATAAGGAAAACCAAAGTGCCCATCAGAACTGTGAAATATTTTGTTGCAAATGACAAGATTCTGAATGAGGGACTGAGAGGGAAGGAAGGTGCTTCAGTGCCGAATAACATACTCCAGACTCCTCTAGACTCTCCTTTCCACTTTATGTCTCCAGGCACACCAACATGCTAAGTTTAGACGTACCTTGTTGGCAGCCAAAACTAGAAAAGGAGTCATGGCATCATATAAACATGTCTGAGAAGAGCTACTTCCTTCATAAAAGAAAAAAGGTTAGCCTCTTACCAGATACCTAAGGGTTGATTTTCAAATTCTACAGAAATTTCAGTGGGACTGACTGACTCCTGGTTGGGTACCTTGCCTATCCCTGTGATGGGCTAAAACACTGCTTTTGATGTACTTCACATACTTGCCCTACAACAGTCCCATTAATACCTTCAGGGAGCTCTGCCTTACCAGAATGCCAGGAACTGTTCCTAGAAACCAGGCTGGTTTAACACCATACTCTTGTTAAAAATCTCAGGCAAGTTTCCATCGCAATTCTGTTTCAGATGGTACAGGCAGGACCTAGAAACAGGCACAGCAACGTGTCTGAACTTGATTGCTTCCACTCAGTCCCCTTAACCCCATAAATGGGTCTCTGAGACTCCCCTAGTGCATCACACCATCCCGTTGCCAGCCCAACAGGATTGGTGATTCACATGTCTCTACTGGTGTCCTGCAGTGTCTCTGCAACTTTGTGCAAATGTAATGAGAGAGATGCCAATTAAAAAAGCACAAGAGTCCTGCAGTGTGGCAGGCTGATTCAAATTAGGTACCTGTATGAAGTGATTAAAAATAGGTTTTTTAAACCTGAAGATAACAGGAGGACAGCATGTTTGATTTACATCAGCAGGGGCTAACAAAAAATGTAGAAGGACCACACAAAGCTCTTTATCCCTGCAGATTTACTGGTGATGATGCTGAGGACAGAAAAGGAGAAATACAGTGTATTTCTGGCACTTTTCAATATGCAAAGAATCTCAATTGTTCTCCCATCTCAGYAATCACTGCTTACTGCCAGATTTCMAAATAAGTTATACTTGCCTTTAATACAGTGACTTTGATCCATCATGCTGTAGTTCAGGTGCACATAATCATAAACAAATCAAATCTCACAACTTCCTTTGGCAACAAAACTACTGTCATTCTCATTTTACAGATAGCAAAAAAAAAATAACTGGGAAGAGTAAATCACCCTGTTG